TGTTTTTGTTGTTGCTGTTATAATTCTTCTTATTTCTTTGGGTTTCTGTTGTCTGCACATTTCCTTCTGGTTCACAAGCAGAGACCAAAAGTCAAATATGGCTTCATGACATCTGCCCTTGATCATTTTTTGTAAAAAACAAAACAAAACAAAACTAAGATCACGTTCATTTTACAATATGTCATGAAGCCACTTTTGACTGTAGGTCTCTGGTTGTGAACCAGAAGGAAATGTGTAGACAACAGAAATCCAAGGAAATAATAATAATAGGAGACGATATAAAAATCTTAGCGCAGCGTGGATTGATTACCGTAAAGCCTTTGATAGTGTGCCCTACACTTGGATCCTTAAGTCTTTGGAAATGTACAATGCCTCCCACATCATAGTAAATTTCCTTAAACACAGGATGGGGATATGAAACACCAGATTATATCTAAATCACACCAGAGGCTCTGCCATCTTCAACCGCCTGAATATCCGACGAGGAATCTTTGAAAGAGACTCCCAGTTACTCCTTTTGTTTTCTTTGTCCTTATCCACCCCCCTGAACATGAACTAAACAACAGTAGCCATGGTTATAAACTAAACAAGAAAGTACTGAATCACCTACTCTACATGGATGATCTCAAATTCTTTGCCAAAGACGACAATGAGTTGAAAGGCCTCCTCAATATTGTAAAATGTTTCAGTGACGACATAGGTATGGATTTCGGATTAGATAAATGTGCAACATTCAAGAATGGGAAAATTACAGAAACACACTCAATAAATTTAGATTAGGAAATTGGAACAAAATTAAGCCTACAAGTACCTAGAAATAAGCGAAGGAGATGGAATACAACATAATCAAATGGAGAAGCTGAATTCAAAAAACAGAATATCAGCCATAAACACTTTGACTGTCCCTGTGGTGCGGTGTAGTTTCAAGATCCTTAACTGGACCATAGCTGATATTAAGCGAATGGACGTCAAAACAAGAAAGCGTCTTACCTGTCACCGCATGCATGATCCCAAAGAGGATGTTGATCGTCTGTATATGGCCAGATCCATAGGAGGCAGAGGATTAGTTCAACTAGAACTGTCTTACAACAATTAGCCTTCAAAGATACCTGGAAACTGCAGAAGCCTGGATGATGATCTGCGTCAAAGAATATGAAAGTAGTGAGTGACTTTATCTCTATCTATAAAAGGCAATATGTGTGTGTGTGTGTGTGTGTGTGTGTGTGTGTGTGTGTGTGTGTGTGTGTGTGTGTAACGAATGCACGGCCGCAATTTTCGACGGATTTGCACCAAAATTTACATGCACATGCTCCAAGTTAGCGGGAAGGCCACGACCGAATTTGCATTTCCCAACTCCCATCGATAGTGGAAATAATCGATTTTTTCATGCTTCTACGGCAGTTTTCATGTAGTTTGCGGTCATTTTCTACTGGCCAGAGTGAGAGCCTATAGCTGGCTGTCACGAATAGGCAGGAAGATTCTATTGGCCAGCGTGTGAGCCAACAGCTGACTGACACGAATGTTAACTAGCATGCAAAAAAAAATCGATAGCTGCATTCGTCACAAGTGGGAAAAATTTAAATCTGCATGGCACTTTACTCCAATTGGCTCATTCGCTTGCTTAAACTCAACGTTGATTCTGATTCCGCAGAACTAGGTTGTGTGTGAAAAAGTATTTGTTGTTAACATTCTTTTTTCATTTGTTTTTTCCATTTATGAGTCCTTTTTTAAAGCTGATCGTTTTGTGTTCATTTTGTTTAGTTCTTTTTTCGTAACAGATTTAATGTTTAGTATAGAGCTTAGAAAAAATTCGCAGTGTGAAATAGGCAAGAAGTAAGACATCAACACGGTGAAGGGCACTCCTTTAAAGGCAAGGAAGGGCAAAAATATTTTAAGTCAAGTGAAAGCGATTGCTGTATGAGTTGTACGATTTTTGAATCAAGCACGGGCAACGCCGGGCCATGCTGCTAGTTCAGTAATAAAGGAAGCCAACAAATCCAAAATGGCATTTCATGGGTGAAGAAATACAAGTAAAGCACAATACACCAAGTGAAGTTGCAAAATACTTTAAAAAAAGGAAAGCAAAATCAAATGCAACCGACCAGATCAGAAACAATAGCAAGATAAACCGCTTCATGGCCAATACACTGCCCGTACCAAACAAGCTGATGTAGACAAACCCTGTACCCATCCGTGGCTATGTAGTGCAGGGTTAAAAGCTGAAGGCGAAGGTTTTATTTTTGCTGCACAGGACCAATGCTTGTTAACTAGAAATTACCATACTGAAAAATTGTGTTAGCCCTAAATGCAGATTCTGTGATAAATATCCAGAAACAATTGACCATCTTGTATCAGGTTGCACGGTATTGGCATCAATGGGATAATATCTGCACTGGAAAATCTGCAGCTTATACAGAAAGGAAACTGAAAGAAATTGGTATGAACACCACCTTGATCTGGTTACGGAGATAGGACCTGTAACAATTTTATGGGACTTCACAATACACACAGACAGAACAATCGTTATTGGAAACCGCAAACAAAAAATGTGCCTCTTTATTAACATGTCAGTCGCTGTAGACTGCAATGTATCTTTGAAGATCATCAAAAAGCTACCAAAATACAAGGCCTTTGAAATCGATCTCAAAAATGTGGCACATGGGAACATCAAAAATTCCTGTTGTAATTGGAGCCCACGGAATCCCTCGTAGCCCATGACCTAAAGAAATACAAAAAATTGTATTCACAAGTACAGCACACACCTTACGAAGGGCTTTATCTATGTAAAATATGCGCGAATTTTTTTTCAAAGCTACTCAGTGAAAAATTCATTTTTGACCTTAGGTCTCTGGTCGGGATCCAAAAAGAAATGAGTATACACCAGAAATAATCATAATAATAATAATAATAATAATAATATGAAGCTCTTCGTAATGTGTGAACTGTACTTCTGGGTATAATTTTTTTGTATTTTTTTAAGGCATGGGCTAGGAGAAATCGCTTTAATTGGTCTATCGGTATCTTTTCCAATGAATCCTAGAGTTCCAACTACAACTGGAATTATTGATGTCCTCATGTCCCACATTTTTTAGCTTTCCTGTTAAAGATACTTGTATTGTAATAGTCTTTTGAAAATCTTTAAAGATACACTACAATCTGCAGGGACTGCTACGAAAGATTTTATCTATGTAAAATGTGTTTGATCTTAGGTGTGTGTGTGTGTTTTTTTTTTTTGTTTTTTTTTTTGTTTTTTTACAAAAATGATCAGTGGAAAATGTCATGAAGCCATTTCTGACCTTAGGGCCTTGGTTGCGACCGTGAAGGAAATGTGTATACAACAGAAATCAAAGGAAATAATAATATTAATAATAATAATAATAGAAAGTTTTGGCTCTATCATCTGTCATCCATCCATGAAACCCTTGCCCAAACTTTATCAATGCTAATGAACAATTCCAGTGAAATCACTGATAGTATTCCATATCTCCTATTAAAAACGAGTGAAATAGAAGATACAAAAAATTATAGACCAGTAACATGTCTACCAACAACATATAAATTAATCGTGTATAATTGTATGTACCACCGATAATTTTTCTAGTTAGGATAAGAGTGTAGTATCTTTGCCTGATACCCTTCTGAACTGGAATCATTTATGCTTTCTGTGTTGTGTACTTTCAGGACGTGGGCGATCATGACTCCCCACAACTTCCTATCTTTTGTTGCTTTTAGTAAGGTTTGTCTTTTTACTACCCCTCCTATTGACTATTCTGCCAATCATTTACATAAGCTCATTAGGATAATTATTAGTGATTTTCCTCTGTCTCCTCTTACATTCAATATGCTCCGTGGGCGTCAAATTCTCCAACCCCTCTTTCCTCATTATGAGACCTAGAAATTTCAATTGTCCCTTTCTGATTATAAGTATATATGTCCTTTTTGTTTCCATTTTACTTTAAAAAAATTTGTTGCTTACATGTTCAATCCATGGTATTCTCAGTAGCCTTCTGTAGAACTATATTCCTTTTGTTTCAAGAATTTTTTTATCTGTGAGCAGATTGCCAAGAATAATTATACAATAGAAGGAATTGTGAAACGCAAGGGAGAGAAGGAAAGGGAAGATAAGAAAATTATAGAAAAATAAAAGGAAAAACAGGTGAAAGGAAAAATAAATCCATATAGAGGGAGAGGAAAGAGTTGAAAGAAAAGGAAGGCGGAGATAGTTACGTTCGGTGTATATCGAGACAATAAAAGAAAAACTGAAAGTCTGGCTGGGTAATAACTGCTGTATATTGAACTTCCTTAAGGAGATATCGAGCAAAAGAAAGACAAAAGAGAGGACACAGTAGAACTTATTTATATATTCTTTGTTTTTTTTTTTTGTTTTTTTTTGGTGCATTTGAAAGTATTCTGTGTATTTTTAATGTCCTATCGATTATAACTCTCCACAGATTACTTTTATTTATTATCCGCATATACCTTCTTGGGAAAGATAGAGGAGTGTTGACTACTCCACTGTTTGGAAATCAGAAGTTTTCCTTCTCCTAGACTGGTTGCCAGCCAAGGAGGCCAATATACACTACTAATTAACCCATAGGTAGAGGGAGAAAAAACGGATTCAAGAACATTTGTGCGGCCGTGAACCAACAGACTAAGCTGGGATTTGAACTCGGCTCTCCGATTTTACGTGCTGATACCCGTCAAACTACCCGCACATCCTTATTCCGTGTATGACATTTAGATAAAGTCATGTACGGACAACGGAGATTTGAATAAAAGGGAGGGAGAATGATAAGATACAGTCAAAGTTTGAATGAATAATCTTAGTTGTTAAGACAATGGAAATAATTACCACGAGTTGTCATATTCTGTTTTCTGCTTGAAGTCGAGAGACTATCCAGATTTCGTTGGGTAATGAGATGCGGTGAGAGGGACAGAAATCCAAGACGCCATTGTTTGGCATTTGTTTCAGACAGCATCAACTGCAATGATCTCTATAGGCCAATTATTTTCCCTTCTTCGTTCCTTTTACCCATCTCTCTCTTACACACACACTCTCTCTGCTTCTCTCTATCACACACTCTCTCTCTCTATCTCCCCCTCTTACACATACTTTCTATCTCTCTGACACAGATACACTCTCTCTATATATCTCTCTCACACTCTTTATCTCTTTCTCATACACATTCTCTATCTCTCTCTCTCTCTCTCTTCATCTATTTATCTATCTTTTGCACTCACTTTCTCTATCACACTTTATTCTGACTTTCTGTCTCTTTCACTTCACTAACATTTCTTTTTTTACTCTCTCTTGCTCTCTCTCTCCCTCTCTCTTCCTGTCTCTGTGCGTGTGTACGTATGTGTATGCGCGCGTGTGTCCTTCTCTATAGCTTTTATTTCATCTCACCTTCTTTCTCTGGCGTTCTGTCTCTCTCCTCTTTATACCTTAAATTTGAAGTCAATTTTTCATTTTCACTCTTTCTCTCTCTCTCTCTCTCTCTCTCTCTCTCTCTCTACCTTTTCTCTCTCCCTCTTTCTCTATCCTTTTTAGCATTCATTTTATTTGACTTTCTCTCTCACTTTCTCGTTCTTTCTTCCTCCCTCACTCTTTATCTGACTTTCTTTCTTTCTCTATCCATTTGCTAACTTAGTTTTTTTTACTCTATCTGCTGTGTCTTTCATTCTCTTTTTCTTTCTCTCTTTCATTCACGCTCTCTCACTGTGTATGTGTGTATGTTTCTACGTGTGTGTGTGTGTGTGTGTGTGTGTGTGTGTGTGTGTGTGTGTGTGTGTGTGTCCTTTGCTTTCCTATCTCTGGCTTTTTATTTTATCTCACTTTCTCTCCTTTACACTCATTCCTCTTTACCATTTTCATTATTTTTCATTTTCTCTCTCTTTCTTCCTCTTATCTCAAACTCCTCCCCACCTCTCTCTCTCTCTCTCTCTCTCTCTGTATATATATATATATATATATATATATATATATATATATATAGTGTGTATTTCTTTCTTCGTTCAATGATAATGTTATTAAACTTATTGGACGTTATGAAAAGAATTTACATAAAATAAATAGACAACACTTGTCTATATTATTTAATGAAACGTGTATGAATATATATATATATATATATATATATTTATCCCACTCTCTCTCTCTCTCTCTCTTTCACTTTTTTCTTTCTAGCTTCCAATTTATCTCACGTTTTCTCTCTCTCTACCTCTCTCGCTCTACCTCTCTCCCTCTCTCATGTTTCTGCTTAAATTTATCTCTGTTATTCTATATTTTATTTTCCTGTTTTCTTTCTTCTCTTACTCTCCTCGCTTATTCTTCTATCCTCCCACTCTCTTTAGTATATCATCTCAACCTTTCACTCTATTGGTTTCCCTCTCTAGTCTCTTCTCATTTTCTCTCTATATTAGTTGAAGTGCCAAAAATAGACTTTTATTTTCTTTAAATATGGCGAAATCGGATGACGTAATCGATGAGGACTTAACGTAACTATAAAATTATTTATGCAGGCTGCGATGGATAAATTCTTGTCAAAATGACCCAAAAATGAAAATAACACTGATATCTCATTTTAATAGGTATATTTACCAAAATTACACAAAAATGTCTTGAAATACTAAAGAGTAGATTTATTTAATAAAATCCCCATTGGCTTCAACCACAGCCTCCAGATGACTTCAGAATCTTCTGCAACTCTTCTGGGCGGTCTCCTTAAGTTGGTGAATACTACTAGAATCCTTGCCTTCATCTTTGGTGTTACAAGGAGTTTTATTGGTTTCTCACTCGTCTGTATCCCACATATAATAATCAAGGGGGTTGTAGTCTGGGAAGTTAGCTATATGTAAGGGGTTATGCGGTCGCAAAAAATTTTCTGACAGCCATGACTGAGTTCTCCTGCTTTATGTGGCATAGTGCAGACTCTTGTTGCCAGACATAGGTTCTTCCAGCAGCCACCGTCTTGAAGCACTACCCCCTTAAAGCAATTATTGTATGCCTCCGTGTTGAATCTGAGGGCCTGTCAAAAGATGAATGGAGGCATAACGCCACCATCGCTAGTGACCATTCCAAACACCATGATGTTGCCTGGATACATCATCCAACTTTTTTCCGAATCTTCTGCACTATGCTCAGAGTGACACGCAAACGCTGAAATGTTTGTATTGGAGCTACCGGAGCGCATATCAAGCAATACAGCATGCTGTTTCCAAATTTCTGGCTGAATGAATTGCGTCATGGTGCTATTTTTCTTATGGCTGGTGCTCAACTGACCCTACCTTACTGTGCAGTCGGCCAAAATCAAAAACAAACAACGCGCATGCGCGAAATTAAAAGTATAATATGGCGACAATTTATCCATCATATCCTGTATAATAGAAAGATTTTAAACATTTCACTCACCTCTACTCCATCACATCTCACCGTGGTCACATCAAAGCTATCACGATCGCATTTCTTAATCTACAGACGTCATTGTGAAGTAATACCGCTTGATGATTTATATCTAATGATCATTAATTTCTGTATACTGCTTGACTATATCCAGTTTTGTTAAATGAATCTTCATTAATGGAAGAGTAGAAGTCTTTAATAATTGCCTGAATACAAACTGTTACTTATCCGCCATACTATTAAACCGGCCAGTAACTTTCGTGTTTTGCTATTTATAAAATTTAAATATTTCTTGTAACGCAACCCTGGCACAATCCAGTAAATTTTATTGATTTTCCTCAAATATTTTAGTGAGTTGAACAGTCTACATGCAGGGTTCACTATGAAATTGCCGTATACAGGCAGTTTGACAACGCACTTAATACTGTTATCTACCTTCTTTTTTCTTCTCTCTCACTCTCTCTCTCTCGTACACACGCACGTACGCACTCATTTATTTCGGCAGAAACTAAAGCAGAGGGAACACAATAAAACCTTTGAATAGATCAGTCTTCAGCTATAAAAACTATATTTCCATAAAATAAAATCACCATCATTAGTCGGCGTGCATTTTCGCCATAAACAGAAGCATGCATGGTGAAGTCATGCAAATTTACACGACCATATGGAGCCGATCAATAATTTGCTACAGCAACTGCTAAACCCATTATTCACCTCTTAAGTGGGCTCGCATTTGCTGTGTGTTCTCCGTGAACGTTCTGTAAGAGTCGAAGGTAATATTTTTGTATGAAAAAATTCATTGATTCACATACTTTTGTCCTAGGCCATTTTGAATCCATTTCTATGTTCACCCTCTTTATATATATATATATATATATATATATATATATATATATAGTGTGTGTGTGTGTGTGTGTGTGTGTGTTTAATTTATTGGTTTAAACGTCATTTTTAATGGATAGTCATTTAATCCATTTCCTAAAAAATTGTCTTTACGTTAGGATACGAAAGTATAGTACTAAATTGGTACCTAGGTCTCTAGTGTTGAAAGAGCTGAGATGTAAATGTAAATTTTCTTCTAATAGTTTCTTTTATCGCATTTCCCGCCGATGGAATTCTCTTACGGCTTCTTGCTTCCTGGTCACTTAGAATTTCCCAAAATTTAAATGCAACATCAATCGTCATCTTCTCTTTTACTGAATCTTTTAGTGTTCTTTCTCATCCCTAACGTTTTATCATTGGCTTTCACTCCCAGTAACCCCTTGCATCTTAGTGGCATTATCGCCTTGCTTGGGATGAAATTATTTTCAAAAGAACTAATCTATACACTGAAGTATTTGATGTGTTTGGTATTTACTTATTCCACGTCCTGAATGTTGTGTGCCCCCCCCTATGACTGCTTTCATTCTAATTCCAGATCATAATTTCTGTTTTGGAAAACGTTTATCTGGTATGTCCTATGTCTTGGAATAATTGGTAAAGAATATGTTTATTTTTTTGTTTAATATCATTCTTATCCAAAATATGAACATCTATATCATCAGCATAGCGTTCTCATCACAAGTATATTTGCTACAGGAGGGGAAGCAGTTGTTTTCTATTATTAATATGGGAATATATGAAATATAAATGTCTATATCAGAATAACGTTGGGCAAATGAATAAGTGGAAAACATTATGTGTAATGTGCTTCGTCTTCAAGATTAACTTCATAGGACTAAAGTATTGTTTTTTTATGGAATTATATATATATATATATATATATAGGAAGGAAAAGAGGGATACACTATTATCACAAGTGATGGAAACGAAAACAAAAGTATAAATATACTGTATAAAACTGGCTTGACTACATGGCCAGACACGTCTAAAAATATAAATTTAAAAATACAACGTTCCATCTTCAGCGTTTCCTGTTGGTGCATAATTATAACCCACACTGGAGTTTCCATATGTACCTCCCCCCCCCGCTTTCTGCATATATATAATTTCATTACTTTACTCCTTATATATAAATATATATTTTAAGACATTTTTTATGTTTATACGTTCTTTTTATCGATACAAATATTTAAGCAAATACTCTTTTTGTAATAAACAGTATTAACGACATTTACCGACCTGAAAAACAGTAAAATCGACCTTGTTAACCGAACGCTCCTCTGTGGCCCAATCGGTTATATATATATATATATATATATATATATATATATATATATATATATATATATATATATATATCTGGCAATTAAAAGAAACCAATAAAACACCTAAAGTAAAATGTAAATTAATAAGAAAAGTTAGAATATGTAGGTCATTAAATGATTCATGTCCTTTGTACATACATGAGAAACTATATATTACTAAGTTTAAAAAAAATAAAAATTTACTGAATCAAAGAAATGAAATAGCTATTCTTTGCCGACATTGTCAAAAATTTACCTTAAATAATATTCAAAAATAAAATTTTAAAAAATGGGAGCTGGTAATATACATACTTATATTTGATATGTAATAGTAATTTTAAAAATAATTTAAGTAAATTCTACTAGATTTACTTGATTTAAAAAGAAATATAGTCTATTAGTAATTAAGAGTAAAAATAATATAGTAAAATTGTAGTTCAATATTACGTATTCTAACCCAAACACCTCTTTTAGAAAAAATCTTTAAGTATACAAGTACGAATTTAATGGAAAAATTGCCGAAAAACGTTTTGTCGTTAATAAAACCAAAAAACCAAAAAAACAAACGACATGGATTGAACGGATGTCAAAATTCGTTAAAAAATACACCCCTACCCTACCTAAACTTAACCTTTTTTTCGAACGTAACTCATAATTGAAACAAAAATAGTTAATGAATTATATGTGCGTTTAAAACTCAGTAAATTTTAAAATAAGTTATTCCAAAATTCGATTGAAGATGAAACAGAATTAATGCTTTTAATTTAATTATATACTTAAATTTAAAGTTTTTAGCTTCAGTTTTTAAAACATGGTAATTCCTGCGTAGCGAAGAAACCATATTTTCAATCAGTTAATTTATAATATTTATGCTCTGTAAATTTACATTGAGCACTGTTTTGTAAAAATAAAAATATCAATAAGAACACCGGATTATATCTTACTGTTCTTTCTTTTTATTATATATATATATATATATATATATATATATATATATATATATATATATATATATATATATATATTAAAGTAGAATCTCCGACAGACGCTAATTCAGCAGGGTTTCGATCCTAGCTAGAGGCAACCGAACGTCTAGCCACACTAATGAGCTGTGATACAGCGAAATAGTTTGTATGTGGATCTCATTATTTATATATATATATATATATATATATATATATATATATATATATATATGAAGAAATTTTGAAAAAACAAACAAAATCCTTAAATGTAGTTAAAATGAAAGTTTAAGGATTTTTGTTTGTTTTTTCAAAATTTCTTCATTGTGTCGGATTTATATCCATTTACACTTGCTTATATATATATATATATATATATATTAGTTTTATATATTATGTTTACTCGGTACACGTATTTCACTTACTTTCCCTGCTTTTCATTAAAACAGTGAGATTAATAACAACCGGCCTAGATTGAGAAGTCTTACTAAAGGAATATGATACCTCCAACAGTTACGTCCCCTTCTCTTTCGCTTCTCACTTCCTATTCTATTACCTCTCTCTCTATATATATATATATAATTTCCTATTGCTATCTATCCTTTAATTTTGAACATTTTCTCTCTAGTTTGCTTACTTCTCTTTTTTCTAAAATCTTATGCATTTCTCTTATTCTCTTCAAATGCATCTTTCCTTCTCTTTCTCTACTTTCTCCTTTTTTTTTTTTTCAAGCGATCTTCTGTGTCGCCCCTCCCCCACGACATTTAACTTTTTTTCCTTTTTACCGTATTGTTCCTTGGCTCAGGCCATAGTGGTCGTCGTGACCAGTCGTCTGCTTTCTACAATCAAATAATGGCTTGAATTTATCGAGCTTTTT